TGTTTTCTAATAATCACTCGTTCATATATATATGCCCTTCAACACTTTTTTATATGATATACGGTCTTCAATACGGATTATAAATAAATTTCATTTTTTTTATATGTTCGGGGCATTATGCTAGCAAACCCAAATGTAAAGCGATCGGACTGTAAATCCCAAAAAATATATATATACGTAAAGTAGGCAAAAGAACATGTTCATATATATATATGTATATATATATAGTGGAGGGCATTTTGGGGATATAATTTATAAATGTGACATGAAACAAGGCAACCAACATGAGATAAGGGTTGATTACAAAGACGTGTGCGTTAGGGTTAAGAAAGGAATAATAATAATGCATGTGTGATTAGTGATGAGCTTTTTTTGCATGATTAGAGAGGTCAATGCCTTCACGTTAGGGTTACAAAGGTAAATCGACACTCGGATGTTTATTAGCCAAATGTGACATTTACAATTTAATTTGAAAATACCAAAGATATGGACCCCACATGGCCCCGAGCACCGTAACGTATATCTGCAGCTGTTCTTGTTGATTATATTTGATTTTCTACCCCTTTTAATCATTTTTTTTTATGAAAAGCCTACATAATGATGCCAATCATTTAAATTTTATTCTAATATTCTTAGGCTTCTCCACAGCTCATATGATATTTTATTCTGTGATTCTTTAAATACACAATATATATATACACACACACACATATGTATATTATATGGTGACAAAAAAATATATTAGAAAATTGGTTTCTACCCCCCAAAAAAAAGAAGAAGACGAGTTATAGCTAGCAAAACTAATTTGAGAAATTATTAATAATATCATATTCTTTTTGGGACTATTATATTTCCTTTTTCCCTATTAATGCGTAAGCGTCACAACAAATTTTTTTTTTAATCACAGCCTCACAAATATTTCTTACTTATATGCCATGCATGTGAAGATTCCCAAATTAAAAAGTAGACACAAAGTCAGGAAAAAAAAAATCTCCATTTTTATTTATTTTTTTAAATAAAAAGTATTTATATGATATATATATGATATGTACATACACATATATTATATTTATAGATAGATAAACGAACCGTCCCATCCGATTAAATACCCCCAAGATAAAACCACAGTAGAAGAAAAAAGAGGGGAGAAATTCAACCTCACATCTCTTTTCATCCTTCTTTGTGTTTATCGAACGCTTGAATCGAAATTGGCATGTACATGTATATATGTTGGGGGATTCCGGCGAAGTGCTAGAGAGCTCCGCTGTGGCAGCCTCCGCCGGAGGGGAAGAGAAGGATGTGAAGTTGGAGGATTCCGGCGAGAGAGCCACCGTAGGCGGCGGAGGAAACCGGTGGCCTCGGTCAGAGACTTTGGCCCTCTTGAGGATACGCTCGGAGATGGAGTTGGCTTTTCGTGACTCAAATCTTAAAGCTCCCTTATGGGAACAAATCTCGAGGTTTATTTCATTCCTTCTCAAAACTATATAAATTTATATACACACAAATACATACACACATATATATATATATGTCTGTCTGTATGTATGTATTGACCTTGCTTTGTTGTCTTGATGTGTTTTTTCCTCTCGGATCTTAAGCATAATAATTTTTTAAAAAGAATAATAATTGTCTAAATTACTATGCCATACGTATATATATAGTATAATCATGTGTTTATGAACATATGTATATATTCCTTGTGAAATCTGTTTTTGGGCAATTAATCCTATTGGGGTCAACACATCCCCAAGGCTTTTGTGTTCAAATATAATAATGAATGCATCTGTCTAACAACTATTTCATACAGATTCCTAGAAAATCATACGTATATATATATATATGTATACATATACATATGTATCTATGTACGTATGTATACGTGTCTCATGGGTTATTTATGAACGATGATCAGGAAAATGAGGGAGCTTGGTTTCAGGAGAAGTGCCAAGAAATGCAAGGAGAAATTCGAGAACGTGTATAAATACCACAAGCGTACCAAAGAAGGCCGGTCCGGTAAACGCGAAGGCAAAACCTACCAGTTCTCCGACGAATTGGAAGCTTTCGAGAATATCCATCACTATCCAACCGAACCGAAATCTCGACCAGTAAAACCGCCTACGACCACGACCACGACCACCGCTGCTTCCATTGTTCCATGGATTAGTAGTAGCAACCCATCAAGTGGTACCAACCCTACCTTGTTCACCAAGCAACAGCCTACACCGCCTTTTGTTTTGAATCACAGTGCTCATACAGTACTTGGTTCTGGTCATAAATTAACGAACCCTTATAATTTCGCAAGAAATGTTCCGTCCTT